CCCCCACACACACACACATGATGTAGATCTATATGCCGCACCAGGCTCTAAAAGGGGTGTATTTTATGTTTATGTACAATTCAGTGTTTAATATAATGTTAATTAAGTACCTCGGAAGTATATTCACAGAGGATGGGCGATTGAACAGAGAAATTGAAACACGAGTGCAAAAGGCCAATAATTTTAGTTACCAGCCTACTCCACTACTGAAACATCCTAACATCCCCATGACTACAAAACTCAAAATGATCAACACCATATTCATCCCTACACCTGTCCCCGTAGAATTATGCAAATTTAGAAGGCCAAATTATGCAAAAAAAAGCAAAATTATGCAAGTTACCGTAACACCATTCGCGACATGTTTTGCACTTTTTCAACGAGAAGTTTCATGATTTTCATGTTTTATGTACAGAAAAATTGAAAACGGAACCTATCAGTATCAGTAATGTGTTGTGTATTTGGAAAAGAAAACAATACACATAAGTTAAAAAAAAAAAACAAAAAACCAAAAAATATAATCTCTGTGACTTTCAGCTGTAGATCTAGATTCTAGATCTATAAAGGGAAAAAAATGCTTTAAAAAAAAAAGGACATCTGGACCTCTGATGCAGGCACATTACTAAAACCAGGGACACCTGTCAAACATGAAACATCAGCAGATATGAGAACAATAACTTTTGATGGATTGAAAAATTGAACATGCTCAAGGAACAAAATCCCAACCCATAACCAAGATCTTCTAACAAGGGAAATAACCAACTTTTCACTTAAATGAGACTTATTACGGTGATCACGTCCCTTTAGTCATATGGCGACGAGTTAATTAATTGTTTTGTGAAAAAAAAAGAAAAACACGTGAAAAAACCCAAAGAATCTAAAATTATGCCTATGCAAATGTTGCAGAACTAGGCCTAGGCTACGCGAAAAAACGCGGCCGTACAATCGCATAATCATACGGGGACAGATACACTCACCTACCAATGCCAAACATGGACCACGAACAAGAAAAACATTAACCAACCACGCATCCCCCTGACCCGGCGGGTAAAAGTAAAGTAAAGTAATAATGTTGATAGTTAATGTTAGGCATTAATGCTACAGATCTTGGACTTCATATGAATAGATCTAATCTAGATCTAGATCTAGATAATCTAGAAAGATCAAGCTATCTGGATGGAGAATTATGTAGTCGTAGGTGGGGCCACTTACGCATTACAGCAGAATAAGAAAACAAAACTGTGTTCAAAGAAAAACAAAACAAGATAGCCCAGTTATTTACCGAAATAATAATGACAGATCTAGGTCCCTATTGTATTTTTTTTTTTTTATTATTCTGCCACGCTGTAGGCTAACATGTGTCGAGGGAAATAGGCTAGGCTAGGCATTGTAATCAATAGAAAAAGGCGAACAGGTCTAATAAATCGGAAATGACGTATTCGAGAGTACTTTTTTTGTGGACAAGATGGCAGAAAACGTGGCTAAAGGAGTCGAGAAGATGGACCTTTCTGATCAAAAAAAGGCATGACCGGTTCCTTTTTTAGTTAAATCATCTCTACAACACAATGTTTCCGTCAAGGATAAGTTTTCTTCATTTTGCAAAGAGGCTAGGCACGACATACTTGAGGGCGATGAGCATGGTTCGTAGTACTTCGTGACCGGTTTACTTGACAACTAATGTAGAAACTAGAATAGCCTCTATGAACTTGTGTGTCTCTATCCGCGTCGAATGCTTGTTCTGTAATTCAGACCTCGCCTTTTAAGACAAAAAATAATAGTATTACATGAAAAGAAAAGGTCAGCATTAGGCTACGTTCGGAGGGCTGAGGTAAAGTAGGCCTATGGGCAACTGGTTTTGATGTAGAGATCAGTGAGGGTGAGGCAATGGTCATCATGACTTAGAATGATGCAATAACTTGGATCATGGAGAAAGTGGTACTACCTGGTCAAAATTTAACTTTTTGGATTGGTTCTGTTCATTGTGTTTCCAATTTGAAGTGTTTTGTTTCAGTTATTTTGGTTGATTCTGGATCTTGAATTGTTTTCAAGTAGCCTATTTAATTGGTTTCACGCACTGTGTGTGCGGATTTTTCATTCAAATTCAGTCTCATTGAAATTTACGAGCTGTACAGTGTAGGCCGTATCTAGAAATCTAGATTTAGAATCTAGATCTAGATCTCGTATGGATTGGCAAGATCTTGCATCATTATCATAATCATATATAGGGCCTAGGCCTACGTAAAAAAACCAGTACAGGTGTTAAGAGATTGGAGACATACGGATTTCTCTGACGTCTCTTTCAGTAGGTTTTTTTAGTTTTATAGTTAGGCTAGGCTAATTTTAATGGGGGGTTTTTTTGATGATCAAATAAATCTGCAGAAAATATTACTACTATCACACCAGGCAATTTGTCTTGGGGTTGCTTTGGTGTTTCTCTTGAAAATATGATCAGATGGCTGGAAAGGCACTGTTGAGGACTGAATTCTGAAATGGAAAAAAAAATTGCCTTCATTTTCAACACTTGATTTGTTTTTCTTTTATAGCTGAAAAAAGATTGAATAAATTTGTAAATGTGGCATTCAGAGCAGGGATGCTGTTGAATTTTTATCTAAGATTAATGAAAGGCAAGGGGATGATCGAGAATTTTATGCTGTTTTGAATTAAAAAGTAAAATAAAATGAATGTCCTATAGTGCCTGTGCTTTTAAGTTTGCGTGAAAAAAATGTTCAGCTCTTTGTTCTGTGACTGTTTTAATTAAGACTCGACTCGATCTACATCGGGAAATGGTGTACTAAATTAACACTATTATGTTTATTACAGAAAGCTGGAGATAAAGGCAAGAAACAAGGAGGAGGAGAAAAAAAAGCCATGGAGGTAGGCTTTTTTTCGATTCTGTAACTTTTTTTCTGTGCATGTGTAAAAGTTTGACAGATGTGAATCGTGAACATAAAAAATTGTCAAGTTATTATTGGTGGAACTTAACTGAACCTCATGATGAAAATCTTGAACTCTTTTCTTTCCTTTATAAAAATTTATTTGTTAAAATGTAGGCTATTTAATGATTTCAGAACCTTAGGCTGGCTGTAATTTTGTGTGCAATTAATTACAGACGTGTTGTGTATTATATATTTTTTTTTAAAAGATTGAATTTGCAAAGTGGATGGTTCGCGGGTGCTGTGGTGTGGTTTGCTCCTTCTTTTCTATAAAAAAATCTATCTTCTGTATCTCCCCTCCTTCTTTTTTTGTGTTTGCTACTCTCTTGTAACACCTCCAATCTTCGGCACTTATATGACCTTTTTGTGTTGCAATTGCCGTAAAACTCTTACTAAAACAAAAAGAGTGAATTTGCAGAAATGCTTCTGGAACAGTTAAAATTGGAACGATCGCACTGCCAGCAGGGCTGATGGTGTTTGCAAGTAAAGTTGGTTTATTTGTCACAAACTAGCAACGTTGATTGTGTAGTTATTTTGTACTGGACTTTTTTGTCCATGAATATTGAAGCCTAGGGAAAGGATTGATCATAGTCTCAGTTTCAGTTAAATTAAAGTGAGTTTTTGTTGGTGAAAAAGAATGTGTTGCTTAGAAACATTCAAGTGTGGCGGCTTACTCTGTCTGACCCATTAACATTGTGTAAATAGTGATGGCACAAGGTCCTGTGCAGGGAGGACGGAGGAGAGGCAGGCAGAAGAAGAGATGGGAGGATAACATCCGAGAATGGACAGCCATGGAGCTGCGTGACACACTGAGGAAAGCAGAGAGCCGAGGGGAGTGGAGGAGATTTTTTGTCATCTGTGGGAGGCGACCCAATGGATGACAGATCTGTGGGCGCAGAAAAGAAAAAATATTTAAAAATAATGATGTCCAAAAGGCATCATAAGGCTAATACTTCTTTACCATTTCTTAACAGAAATAGGAATGGGTTTTCTTCTTTGTAAAAGGAAAGGCCTTCAAAAGCATTTTTAGTAATTTTTACATTTTGTGACTGTGATCTTTTCATTTCTAAGCTTAATATAATATGTATATATTTTTGACTATAAGTTTTACAGAAGCTGCATTCTCGACTGGTTTTAAAAGTTATTCTATAACATTGTAAAATAACTGTAATGTTCTGTGCTGTGACTTTGAATGTACATATTTATACCTTCTACAAACCATAGGAAGGACATGGTCCACTTTTCTCCTGGTATAAATAAGAGGCTTTTTCTTTATTGTTTTCCTTGGCTACTCCAGTTTCTTCTTGCCTGATTTTTCCGGACCTTATATGACTACTTGTTATTCAGTGGTTCCCTATTAATTCAAACTGTCTTGTACTCTCTAGCTGAAGCCGCCACCAGATTATATTGAGCATCGTCAAAAATTATGGGACAAGCTAAAGAAAGAGAGAGATGACTGGATAGCTGCTCAAGAAAAGGTCCCGATCAAAGTCACTTTACCAGATGGTGCTGTAAAGGAGGGAAATGCCTTTCAAACTACTCCTTATGAAGTTGCTGCAGCAATTAGGTAAAGCAGATCTGATATATATTCACAAGGATGTAGTTCTGAAGTGGCACGATACTCTATAGTTTTATTAAAAATAGTCAATATTGTCCCTACCTTGCCTTCAGAATCATAAACCTTACATCATATTCGATTTGGTTTGTCTTTATATCTTATTAAATTTGATAGAGGTGTAGCAAAAATGTTTCTATGACTATGTAAAGTACTGTTTTGAGCACTCATGGTGTGCAATTCAGTATTAGTTTTACTCCTCTATTAATGGTTCTTTTTAGATGATGTTGGACTGACATCAAACTTAGGCGTATCTACCTGATAGAATTTTAAAATGAGAGCGTTAGTATTTCAGCTATTAATGCCAGTATTAGCTATTCAAGGAACATGTTCTCCAGAAACACAGATTAGTCCAAACTTTTTGTTTCTTGTTGTGAAATGACTTTGTATGTCTTTTTTTTTTATTGTTTTAGGCGTCATAATATGTTCTTATTTTCAGTCCACTGAGTTTAAACAATTATTTTTCAAGATGCCTCTGTAGTTCCTATCTTTCTAGTGTACTTACCTTAAGTAGTCAGGTTTCTCGAAGATCCAGCAAAGTAGAATGATTGAATTGTGCATTGCTGTATGTGTATCATTGAACATAAATACAATGAGCACGTTTGCATGTTGATACTGAATCTTTGTATTTTGATGTACTTGTATATCAACCCAAGGTTTTCCTTATTGATTAATGAAGTTTATGTTATCTTTTATTATATTTTACCGCAGCAAATGGTTTAGTCTTTGAGAAGTGAAACTGCAAGTTAGTCATGTGTGTTCTATAAAATAACAGTGGAAAAATATATTTTGTCTCAAAATATTGTCATCACAGCCAAGGCCTTGCTGATAGCACTGTGGTTGCCAAAGTGAATGGAGAATTGTGGGACTTGGACCGACCGTTTGAAAAAGACTCTTCTCTTCAACTGTTGAAGTTTGACGATCCAGAAGGTAAAAAACCCCAAACCCTTAGACTTTAAATTCGTATATTTTGTCAAGTCCTGTGAAAGATGCAGATGATTTAATTGGTAGTTGTCTTTTTACTGTAAATTGGAGACAGGAAGTAAGTTTAAGAATGTTTGAACCCTTTCTTTGTTAGCAGTGACTCGATACAGGTCACTCGGATGTTGTTTATGGATATCTGCTCAATTGAAGTCCTTAAGACAGAGGTGTTTTTATTGAGGAATACAGAAGTGGAATTACTTAATTACATATAAACTCTTACTTCACCATCGTAAACAGTTGCAACTTTAAGACTTTGTATGACTTACAGTTTTATTTTTGCAATATGCTTTTTCCAGTCACTTTGAAGATGTTAGTATTAATGCTTTATTCTCTCAGGCATTTGATTCGACATCTCTCTATCCTCCTTATCTTTCTTTCTTCTTCTGTTTGTATGTTAAACGTTGTGTGGAGAAGACAAATTAAATTACTTTGTGTGGAGGAATATTATTAGATGTCCCCTTCTGTCTTCTGGGAAGTTGTATCCCTCTCAACCCAAGTTGACCCTGACAGACAGGGTTGATGCAGCCTATTTCGTAAATGACGTGAATTGTTTCGTTGGAAATGTAACGCACGTACAGTTATAATTGCATACTATTCTTTTGTGTGTTTGTCAGGTCAGTATGTGTTCTGGCACTCCAGCGCTCACATGCTGGGAGAGGCAATGGAACGACAGTGTGGAGGACATCTGTGCTACGGGCCTCCTGTCGATGGGGGATTCTACTATGATATGTGGAGTCCTGAGTGAGTTTTTTTGGTTTAGCTGAGAGTCATTACTTTGTTAGCTCTATTTTTTGTTGCTGTAGTCATGCAGTGATTTCAGGGAAGAGAGTAAGTTTAAGAACACTGAAAAAACCCCCAACCCAGCTCAATATGAAAATTAAGTTTTTTCTCCTTATTGAAAATAGATCAATATCGCTATAGATATATAGCATATAAAAATATTTAATGAGAAGTAAATTACATGTGAATTGAGAGGCGAAATTTGTAGATTGGGTGTGCAAAAGGTGATAAATGTCTGTTCAGCACAATCTGTTTGTGTAGTATAAAGTATAGAAATGAGGCTCTCGCCGATGTTTTCTTTGCTCTAGGGGCTCGAAGACTGTTTTTTTAAAGCTAGTTAAGTAATGCTTGTTAGGGAAATGATATAACCATTGCTTTGTAAAGGAATAAGACTTATGTCAATTTGTTATTTTAATGTCACTTTGCAGACCAGTGTCCAGCAGTCAGTTACCAGTTTTGGAGTCTTTGGTGAAGACTATTTCCAAAGAGAAGCAGCCATTTGAGAGATTGGAGATGAGAAAAGAAGACCTGCTGAAGATGTTTGAGGTGTTTATATTCTTCGTTAAATTTGTTTAACGTATGACTGGGTCGGAAGAAGATCTTTAATTTTGTGTGTGGAATACATGAGAGAGAGGTCGAAAGTTTTTTGTTGTGGATTTTAAAAAAATATTTTTTTTGCAAGATTGTTAGCTGTAATTAAAGATAGGTTTTGGACGGATGCACTGTTAGTCTGATCTGAAAAGTTTATTTTCTTTTTCTGAACCGTTGACACCTTGGAAGTGTGTCTTTGAAAACATCAGTAGTAAGACAAGATAACATTCTTTTCTTAGCATTGATTCACATAAATGTCATCGTCATTATGCCATTTTGGCCTAAACTTTGAGACATTTCTGTTATCAGAGTGCTGTGAGACCTTGGAAGATGAGGTGAATTCATTTGTTTGTTTACCCAGTAATTTCTGCCCCTTTCTCTTGTTGACACCCGTGCCTCGGACTGTTTTTATTCCTTTAATCACTATTTGTGTAACCTTAAATGATGAAAGATGTTTCCAAACCTGAACGTCCTCCTCTTGCTATGCAGTCTTTTTCTTTGAAAAAACGTTTCCACCAACTCTGATCCATTTGCCCTGCCTCCAGTCCCAGGTGTTAGAGCTTGTTTGTGCCATGACCTTATATATATGGGTTAGGTAGACAGATGGTTTTACTGATTCACAGGATCATGTCATCTTTGTTTCTTTTGATCACCATTATAGAAAGAACAAATGTTCAAATTTTTCATGTTCAGATTAAATTTTTGCTTGCTTTAGATACAAACAATATATAGACATCATCAGTGGTAGATATTTCTGATGCAAGAACTCAAATTGTCATGAGCATCTGTTAGGTGGTTGGAATGAAGAAAGTGCTCTTCAATGCTCCTTCTGTATGTGTTAAAGACTGCTTTTCCCCTTTTCAGAGAATAATAAAAGAAAATTAGAATGCAGTGAAGGAGAGATTTATGTGAAGTACAGCAATTTTTTTCTTATTTGTACTTTGTGTTGTATAAGGAACTTTGGTACACATGTTTATTTTGCTGGTGTTTTAATGTCTCCAGTACAACGAATTCAAGCAAAGGATCATCAAAAACAAAGTGCAAACCCCAACCACCACTGTGTACAAGTGAGTATAGACTAAGTTAGTGTTTGTACATGGCAGTTCGTTTCCTCTTGTATTATTTTTTAAGGATTTAAGGAAAGTATTTTGCAATCCACTTTACGATACAGCACATGGCTGTTCTTCTTTTATGTTCATTCATCCCACATTGATCAAGATGCAAAAGTTATAAAACTGTTTTTACTCATATAACATTTTTCTCCCACACAACATGGATTCATTTTTTTTCGTATTTGGGCACTTCTTCCTTTGACCATTCCTCTATGAGGATCTCCACATTCAACGTGACATCATAGAGGTGTATGTTCAGTGGTGCTTAAGAAACAAGCAGAGAGACATACATGATTGTCTTTCCCATTTTACAGCAAGGGCTGCTGGTGTTGATTTTAAAAAAGTTATGACCATTTTCACCTTATTGTTTAGACCGCTCATATCATTTGGTCTGGTAATGCTGTCAAGAATAGGGTGTCATTTTTCCTTGTGTGTCCTCAGGTGCGGTCCATTGATAGATCTCTGTCGAGGGCCTCATGTGCGTCACACTGGGAAAGTCAAAGCTCTAGCTGTCACCAAAGTGAGTGGTCACTTAAAAATATGAGGCTATAGGAATACCTGCTAGAATCATGGCTTGGTTAATGTGGTTTAAAAGATTGTAAGAGGAAGGACTTTTTTTTACGGCCCTTGGAACCACTCTTCAGTTTGAAGTTGCCATGGAGACTGAATGTTGGGGCAAAAGTAGAAATTGTGTTTTGCAGCCTTAATTTTATACCAATAATTCTAAGATTTTTAAAAAGGGCAAAAGTAGAAATTGTGTTTTGTAGCCTTAATTTTATACCAATAATTCTACTAAGATTTTTAAAAAATAGACTGTCTGAAAAGTTGGGTTTAAAAAAAATTTCTTTAAAGTTGATATGAAGAATGTGAAGTTTGAAATCATTTTAGAGAATGCTGTTGGTTTTTCAGTGGATCTTATATTTTAAAATAATCCTTTGAATTTCTTACCAGAATTCTTCTACCTACTGGGAGGGTAACTCAGAGGCTGAGACGCTGCAGAGAGTCTATGGAATCTCCTTTCCAGATCCCAAACAGTTGAAAGAATGGAAGCACTTGCAAGAGGAGGCTGCGAAAAGAGATCATCGCAAAATTGGAAGGGTGAGCGTTTTGTGCTCTCCCCTTATGTACAGTTATCTATTTGTTTAGACTATTAATGACAATAGAAAGAAGTGCATATTTAAGTATTTAAGTCGTAGCCATTTGCATAAGAAGGTGTGAAGTTAACACGGAAAAAGACATTAAACTAAATATCTGCTAATGTGCCCACTTTTTTTTTTTCCATCATGGTCAGGGAAAACAAAGTAAAGGAGTTTTTATTTTTTAAACTCGTCTTATCTTAGTTAATTTTGAGCATAGTCCACTGAACTTGTCAAACTTTCAGCAAACTTAATTTTGTACATTGTTCACAGATTGTGTCATACTTATGGCTGAAATAATCCTTCTTCAAAATAGCAATTAAATTGACTACTTCGTATTCCAACAGGAACAAGAACTGTTCTTCTTCCATGAGCTCAGTCCAGGCAGTTGTTTCTTCTTGCCAAAAGGAGCCCACATATACAACACTTTGGTCAGTTACATCAGGGTAAGTTTTCCAAGACCTAAACTTTATGTGCTTTCTAAAAATTTGTGTTTCTCTTTGATTAAGAAAAATAAACGACTTAATTCCTTCAGGAACTGCAGCCTTTATATGATTTCAAAGGCATGGAAATGGAAAATTATTTGTACTTATTGAGGTGGTCATAATAGTTTGAATGATGGTTGTACTTTCTTTATATTACTAAAAATAGTCTCTGAGCATGGCAGAATGCCTGTTTTATGAGACACTGCGCTTTGAGACGTTTTAGAAGCAATTGGTTTGATTTGGAATTAAAAAGGGTGTTCAAATCAATAATTCAGTTCTGTCTGAAGTAAATGGTCTTCTGGGTATACATTCTAACATAGTTTTTCTAAGAGAATTTCCTGAACTAGAACATGGTTATTCTCTTCTTCCTTTGTTGACTGTCTTGGTATTTTTTTTCAGGAGCATTACTGGGAGAGAGGTTTCTCGGAGGTTGTTTCTCCAAACATCTACAACAGCAAGTTGTGGGAAACGTCTGGACATTGGCAACATTATTCTGTAAGTCACACACTCAAGGCCAATTCATTGTGTTTATCTACTTTCTCTTCATTTACATGCTGTCAGTAGGAGATACTGAAAACTTTTTTTGTTTTGAGAGCTGGAGACATATTTTAGACAAATGGTGCGCAGCTGGCGAGAAGTAGAGAAGATTGCCAAAAACAGAGTCAGGTGGAGAGCCCTTCTTGGCGGCCTATACCCAATAGCAGGGTGAAAGAGGCAGATGATGATGATGAAGACGACTTGTTTTGTTTGGTTTATTACGTGTTTTTTTTATAAGCAAGGAAATGGGGAGACCTTATTTATTTTGATTATGAGTTATGGTCAACGGAGAGATGGCAGGACCATGTTTCTCCTCGTCCCCCTGCTGATGTGCACACAATGATGTTGGCCTGTCGCTTAGTCTATAAGAATTAATTCTTTCGACTGGTCCTGAAAATTTGCTTTCAAGGTTTATTCTGTAAGTTGCCTCTTTTTCCTTGATTTTGCTTTGAGTTTTTGTTAATTGAATGTTTCTCAGGAAAAGTTGAAATTGTTCTATCAGGTCTGCTAGGGTAATGATATAGACTGTTAAGTGTGTAGAGCTTGCTAAATAGTGGGAATTTGTGCTATACAGGTGCTATTTACCTTAACTATGAGAGTCAGTATTGGTTTTTATTAATACCCAGAAATGTTACTGTCTGCAAGTCGATTCTTTGCAGTGCTGACATATCTAGATATATTACAGGGTTGCCAGTTTTTCGGCTAAAGCCGGAAGTCGGGCCTTTTAAAATCCTCCAGCTTTTGCGGCTTTTCCGGCCGAGATCGGCAGAGTCCGGAACATTTTTCCTGCCTTGTCGGCAAATTGTAACCTGACACCGGCTAGACATGAAGGAAGACCAGAACGGGTAGTTGAACTCTTGTGCATTTCCGGTTGAGACTGGGCATTATTCGTTTTTAAAAACAACCGAATAAATGGGTATCTAGTATTTAAAAAATCAGAATAAACAAAAGAGAACGAGTGAGAAACTAGGTACCTAATATTGAAAGAGGGAGGGGTGCAAACTGGCTGGCACCTCCTCCTACAGGAGAAAGTAATTTCTTTACAGCAAGACCTTCCCCCATCCATTACACCCATCAATATGTAGTTATTGTTGAGTTCTATTTTTTTAATATTTAGGTTTTTCTAATAGGCCTAGGCATATTTATTAAATATTTTAATATCTGGTTTTTTTTATAATGAAATGCTGCGCATAGAATTTTATACCGAAAAATGTTCAGGCGTTTTTGTCAGAGCCTGCCGGCAACCCTGATATTAAGCAAGATCTTACTATTGTGAAGGTAGTTGGCTGTTCTACAGGGCAGTTGGTATCTGTTGCATTTTTCTGAAAGTTTGTGAGAATTGTCTTGAGAGGAAATGTATACTTTTAATAGCATAGGTAGATTTTACGTTTTTGTTATTGTTACATTCATTTCAGGACCTGATTTTCTACACATATTTCTGTACTGTATTGTTAAAATTTGTCAAAAGGGTTATATCCCTGTGACTGTGCATATGTCAAATAAGGATATGTTGAAGGTTTAAAGGTTTTCAAACTTGTCATTTTCCTCAGGAAAACATGTTCTCTTTTGATTGTGAGAAAGAAACGTTTGCTTTGAAGCCTATGAACTGCCCAGGACATTGGTAAGTTTTGTAATTAGAGGCCTTGTTTTATAAATAATTAAGTCACCCTCTCCCCCATAGGTGTCTTAGCATGCCATGTTGGTATGATGAAGACAGTTAGGTTTTCAGTTCTCGTACAGATCGATATTCCTTTCCATTTATGGTTTTTGGGAATGTGAAACTCAGGTTAGATGGAAGAGAAGGTTTTGTTTTTCGATTTTGAGCATATCGTCTTTCCTGTATTTCTATAAGAAGTTCTTGAAAAAGAGTCTGTGATGAAGCCAGCGAGGACGAGATATTAGAATTTTTTCAGCTTATATTATGAATGAATATAAGGTCACATGGTAGTGTTTGTCTCTTGGATACATATATGTGGCCAGATGAAATGATCATTGTGAAACTTTCAAAAGTGTGTTACAAGTAGGATTCTGTTGTTCACTTTGATTTCTCTCATACATTACCATTGTGTTTTTATTGTGTTGTCTTATAATCTGTTTTAGTTATACAGCACTTAAATGCTCATCATACATTAAATGTGTTTGCCTAATTTTTGCAAATTCAAAGTCAAACTTTTAATGGATGAAACTGGAAAGCGAAGGTTGATATTTTATTTATTAATTATTTTTTTTTTTTATCTTTCTTCAGTCTTATGTTTGATCATGGGGTTCGATCGTGGCGAGAACTTCCCCTTCGGATGGCAGACTTTGGTGTACTCCACCGTAATGAACTGTCCGGTGCTTTGTCGGGTCTGACCAGAGTGAGGCGATTCCAGCAGGATGATGCCCACATCTTCTGTCGTAAAGATCAGGTAAAGAGTTTCTTTTGTGACGATAGGATATTCGAATGCTAGTCTTTTTTTTTTCCTTTTAAAATTTTTTAGCTCTGAAAGATATTTCTCTTTATGTTGTGAAGTGATTTTTTACGTGTTTAGAATTTTACTGATGGGTTTGATTTTTGTTTTTTATTTTACTGTAATGTAAGAAACTGATTCGAGTAGATTGGTGAAGTTCCCAATTGGTGTTTTTCTTATATGAAAAAAATAATGCCTACTATTTCCATTTTTAAAAAAAATGAAAAATTACTCTCTCATAGCTTTTAAGGGGAGGTGGCTAATGAAAATGCCAAAACTCAGTTCCAACCATTTTGTAGCCACTTTGTATGCATCAATGGATACATACACTTTTAAAAAGAGGTTTTGTGAAATAAAAAATTCATTTTTTATTTTTTTGTTCTTGTGGCGGCAAAAAATGGCGCTGATTCAGCAAAATTTCTTTACGTTTTATAAACAGTGTTTCTACAAAACCAATAAAGATAGAAGCTTCATACTTGGTATATATGTTATATATTGCTTGCTTCTCCTCTTTACAGAATCAGATTTCAAATATCTATCATACATTTTCCAAATTTTACCCTCACTTTGACCAATGTTCAGAATTCCATATTAGGCGATGCTGAATCGCAAAAATGCCAAATAACTCAAAACAGAATCAATATTCAGGAAAAGTGCTCTTGTAAGGAGGAGGGCACTTATCTTGGGAATAATGTGTGAAAATTTCAATGAAATCTGCCTGTTAGTTATTGAGATACACTTTCTATAAAGTTACCAGTTAGCCGAAAATGCAATTTCGAGAAAAACGCAAAGTTTTCAAAACATTGTGCAATCACAAACATCTCGGTTTTCACTAAAATCCAACATTATTCGGCAACATACATCACGTTTACACAGCACAGGCTATTTAAAAAGCTTTTTTGACAAGTTTTTACATCAATTCCATGCCCCCCCCCCCCCCCCCCCCCAACTGTCCTCTCACAATTGAATCTCCGCCCCAAGAACGTAAACTCTCATTTGTCTTTCAGTTTCTGTTCTTAAATGGGAGAAGAAGCTAAAATATCTATGTAAGGTAATAGGACATTCTAGGGCTTGTGTGAAAATTTCAACCAACTCTGACTGTAACTTTCTGAGGTCTAATCAAAATAGTGCAGCAGATTTGGCAGAAAAGTTATTCCGAGAAAAACGCGAATAAAAATTTTGCATGCTGACATGCCCGTCTAAATATATATGTTAATGTTGCCATACTGAATTGTTTAGGTAAATTGAGTTTGTTGTTAGTCTTTTCCACATTAAGAAATCTTTAAATGATTTGGCAGATGACTGCCTTTCTTAGAATTAGAAGAGTCGAGACTTTGTCGAGCCAAAAAAAAAAAAAGCTGCTACCTCCCCTTCATTTTCTTCCCATGTGTTTTGGTTTTGCAATGGTGGAATCTAAGACTATGCAACCAAGAAAGGCACACTGTAAACTGGCACTACATGATACTATCTAGATCTACATCTGTATATTTTCTCAATTTGTTTTATCCTATCTATATATTTCTGCAGTCGCTTCTTTCAATCTTGCTTGAAGGGGTTAACTGGCTTTGGGAACACTGGTCTCCGATTTTAAAAAACCCCATTAATAATAAAGTAAAAAAATTGTTTTAAATAACACTAGGCCTTAGAGATTTCTATTGCTATAGCTACGCTAAACAGACTTGTTCACTGCGAACAACCGAAGAGGCTAGGGAAGCCATCAAAACAAATGTATCCTAGATCTAGATCTAGATTCCTATAACTTTGTCGATCGAGCGCAACGTAGATCTGTAGATCTATACTTTGAATACCCCAGCCACATAATCATGGAAAGTACTGAAGGCTATTATGTATTTTACTTATAATCTCAACAGTTTAAATCCTGGATTAGCTCACTCAAAACGACAAAGACTAAGAAGACATCGAATCGAATCACGATCAGATAGACAGACGAGAGAAGACGAATAAGAAGGAGCATGTGTTCGGTAGGCCTTGTCGGGCCGAAATACTACACAGAATTGCAAATGGAGATGATAACAATAATTATTCAGCCTGTAAACAAGATTTATTAGCGTTGAAATCGGCAACACGATAGAAAACTCTTTGAAATGCAGCGAAAACGTTCACGTTCTGTCTTGCGGCACGCAGTGTAAACAATGGCCCGCGAGGGGAATCCCCTTCGTTGCTACCGGCTCGGCGAATGAAAATTCACGGTCCGGTCACGTGACGGAAGTGGCCAACCGGTATTTGGTACGGGGTCTTCAAACATACCTAAATGGGTCCCCAGAGTAGTTCCGTACGAAAACGAAAGTGTAATAATCGAATAGCTCTTATCACGGCCTTTCCAACGATACCAAACTTGATTACCTTGCAGCCACGGAAAGTGTTGTTGTCAAGGGGTAAAGTTTAACATTTCTTTACGTTTTGTTTGCATTTTTTTGCCCCCCCTACCGCTTTCAAATACATTTTTATATATATTAGAGGTCTCCTTAGGTTTTGGGACCTTCACAAACGGATTCTTGACATATTTTTCTGTAAGAATATCCAAATACTCGAAGTTCCATTTTTTTTTTAGCAAATACCCGATTTTCTAGGGGATCGAGACCCGCGGATCTCCTGAACTATTCCTCTCAATTTTGTTGACATTTAAAGAATTATTCTTATGGATAAATTTGTGTTGTTGCTTTGAAGTGATGCTTGGTTTACTGGTAGAATATAGCATGTTATGTGATCCCAAGAAGGAAAGCCGGTCTTACTTTTATCGTAATTATTAAAAAAAATAAAAATTGAATGGGTTCATTTTTTACTTTCGAGTTATTCACAAATAGTGTATAAGTTAGTAACAGTACTTTATTAGTTAGTTCAAATAACTTTTTATAGTTTACCGTCGATGGTTTGAATATGTTTGGCTTCACAACCTAATCCAAACCATGATTAAGTTATGGGTTTTTGTGTCTCTTTTCCCTGTGAACAGACAGCACTTTCGATTTCATGTCTGCGTCCAGTGCATGGTTTTTGGGAGCCTTGAGAACATCTCATATTTCTGGAGTTACAGAAATGCCCTGTTGCATATTCGAATATCGATAACCCACTCTGTGACTCAACAAAGGGAAAGCACACCCTATTATTATAGTGTACCAGTTATTTCTCCCCTGACAAGTATGTTCCCAGTGCTGTTTCTAATGGGTTTTTATTTTGTAAATTTACCTCAAATTTTTATTGTACAGATCAAGGAGGAGATCCAAGGCTCCCTGGACTTCTTGCAAAGTGTGTACTCCACTTTCGGCTTCACCTTTTCTCTCAACTTGTCTACTCGCCCAGAGAAATTTCTTGGAGATAAGGCTGTTTGGGATGAAGCAGAGAAGGTAAGATCAATGAAAATTACATTTGAATTGAAATGCAGTCATATTAACATTTTTCTGAGGCAAATCAGGGAAAGTCATTTTCATTCTTTTATAGTTTCCCCTTGCTTTTCTGTTGGAGGATATTGTGTAATGAACGATTTGAGGAAAATATTTGTTTAAAATCTTGCAAAGTATACTTTATCTCAAAATTTAAGATTGTTTGTAAGATTTGCTTTATTCATTGCCTATGTCAGCACCGTAGGCAGATCACAGCAGGTAAGATTTAGTATTTGCTGAATAGCGTGAAGTCTGCAAATTGAAGGACTTGGTCTGAATTAGAAGTTTTCGAAAAGGTGTGTACAAGTTATGGCTGTAGAAATGTAGCACTATTAAATACCAAAAATCTTCAGACCTCTCTTTTTTTTTCACCAGCAACTGGAAGAGAGCTTGAATGCCTTTGGCAACAAGTGGGCTTTGAATCCTGGCGATGGTGCCTTTTATGGACCAAAGGTATTGTATTTTTCCTTGTTCATTTCTAAGTTTTTGCTACGAGATCAAGTTGGTTGTTGACATAATAAAGAACCTGTTTTGTTTTAAGGGTTGTTTTTTTTTCTTTTAGAGGGGGGGGGGGGATTGGTATGTGTGTGGAAGAGACAAGAGACATAAGTTGATTTCAGTGTTTGATAAGGCATAAGGAACAGAAAATTAAACTATAAAGAAATCATTTCCCCCTTGTACTAAACTCTGTCTAGTTTAGTTTTTAATTCTTGATGAGGGAATGAATTTTAATTGGACACATCGGTCGACTCACAAACTTACTTTATTTCCTCTGACATACAGTTATACTACCACATCCAAATATATGATAAATGAGTTCTGTTCATTGTTTGAAGAGATATGTTGCATGCCAAGAGTGTTTGTTGTACTTGACGTCAAAGACCTTTTCGTGTCGCTGCATTTGTGTGCAGAATGTGGCAAGTTAGTGGTCACTTAGCTGCAATCTGTCTGCCCTTTCTGCATACTTTTGTTTTACTGTTGTCCTTTCCTTTCATGGCTTAGAATGGCTGCCAGCAAGCTGACCAATCATAAAGTACAACCCAGTACCTTTGTTTCTACTATCTACACAAATTTGTGTGTTTGTGGGGGGGGGGGGCGCCTTGTATGGAGGAAATGGGCACTGATTGTTTGTGGATACTGAAATTACAAGAGATGCATATGATTTTTCAGATTGATATTACCATCTGTGATGCGCTGAAGAGGAGCCATCAGTGTGCTACCATTCAACTGGATTTTCAGCTGCCGGAGAGGTTTAACCTCACCTACATGAAGTAAGTGCTTTTGTTTGTGTGTAAATTAAATACACATTCATATTTTTCTTTTTGTGATGGACTTTTTTAAAACCATTTTTGTTCTCTGTTACTTTGAAAAGGGATCAGTATTACTTCATTACCAAAGAGCAAGGAGGTTCTTCTGTGTTAGAAGAGGTCATAGGTTTGAATACTGTACTTAAATAGTTTTCTAATGGTGGTTACTTGAATTCTTTTTAGTATCCCCATAGGAATCTTTGCTGCTAAAGTAGTTGTGAAGATATGAAAGAAAGTAAATGATTTAGTACAGATTTGTTTGTGTTAGTAGACATAGTATATTGCTTTCGAAGCCATCAGGGAAATGTTTGATCACTAACAAGACTTTTATTTTTTCCTCTGTAGTGAAAAGCAAGAGAAAGAGAGACCTGTGATCATTCATCGAGCTGTGCTGGGCTCTGTGGAGAGGATGATGGCCATCTTGTGTGAGAATTATGGTGGGAAATGGTAAGTTCTGCCTCTTTGATATCTACCCACTTATTGCTGTCAGTTTGTATCTCTCTTTCCCAGCTGTGCTGTGTTGATGTGTTTCTCCTTTAGACTGCTGTGTTGATGTGTTTCTCCTTTAGACTGCTGTGTTGATGTGTTTCTCCTTTAGACTGCGTTCTTGCGATGACAGTATTCTAACATGTCTGCTTTGCCTGTCTGTGCTCTTCTTTTTCTTTTCGATCGCATCACGCTTGAAGTCCGGTATCTTATCATATACTGGGATGTCCTGCTCAGTTCATCTGAGGGCCTCTATAAATCTTCTCTTGCAGTGTCAATGGGCCTGTCTATGCTATTCAATAGATTCTAATATATTATTGTCATTTTGCAATGCTCTTGGTTACTTTGTCCTCAAAATGAATGTTTTCTATTTAAGATTAGGGTATTGAAAGAAGTATAGTGGTTTTGATGGAGTACACATCCAGTGAATAATAATTGGCAAAATGTGATGAAAGTCTAAGTAATTAGTCTGGCCTCTTGTCAGTGAGGTTAACTCTTGTGGAATAGCACCACACTGTTGAACTGTCAATGGCAAAGAATTTCAACACCGAGAAAACCGTGTTCTCCTTCAGTACATCTGTTACCCCAAGCATATCACACTGCTTTTCAAAGGATGATAACATGGCAGGCTGCCATGCATCCCCCTTCCAGTCCTCACCCCTCATACTGCTGTTTTTTCTTTATCATAAAAACCTTCGTCCTCCATAGATAGTAAACATTACATTCAATAACAAAGTACTGGTTTGAGTAAGAAAAGATAATCAACAACTTAATTTCCATTTAGTCCTGGAAAAGAGCGAGATAGACAGTAACAGCAAAGGAAGAAGGACTTACCAGTGGCACCCTTTTACCGTCTAGGGAAACACTGGATCGTTTTATTGGTGTTGTGCACACAGGGGAACACAGAAAAAAATGATCAATTTTAACTGTTGAGCGTGTCTGTCTCAATGGTAACACCGTATTGTATTCCGTCTGTTCTTCCACAGGCCATTCTGGCTGTCCCCTCGGCAGTCTATTGTGATCACTGTTGCTCCAGCTTTTGATGAATACGCTCAAGAGGTAAGTAGTCCTAATTTTGTGAAATCCTTTATACATGTTCGATGCCTAGTCCTGATTATTTTTTCTTCCAAATAATGTATGTCAAGTATGGTGTTTTGTTTGTGTGTTTGTTTTAAAAAAAATAATTTATGTGTGTATTTTTTAATTTAAAAAAAAACCTGCTATCCATGGGAAAGTTTAAATATCTAAGTTATGAATCAATGCAACTGTCATGCTGTTGTTAAAGTGTGAAAGAGTTATGCCTGTTTCTGGACTTAAAATTTCTCCTATGAATTGCTTTGTAAATATTTCAATGTTAAATTCAATATCTTTTTTCTTGTTTTGCAGGTGATGGCAAAGATTCACGATGCTGGCTTTTTGTGTGAACATGATTTGGACCAGGGCACCACTATGAATAAGAAGATCAGAAACGCTCAACTGGCACAGTACAACTTTATTTTGGGTAAATACTTCTATATTGATTCTCTGCTTAATGATTACAGTTGTACTGCCTTTGTAGTGTAATATGGTGAAAATAAAAAACGATTAAATGAAAATGCTAATAGACGTATAGCTTTTGATTATGACACTTGTGGAAAAGGTAATGAATAGTAAAGTAAATATTACTGAATTTCGATGAATGGAGAAACTAAACTAAAGAGCTTTTACAAGAGAAATAGTGCATCCCAATTTCATTTAACAAGTGAGTATGGCTCCTTTCATTCTTGGTCTTATTGGAATATTTCCCACATAGCCATGCAGCATGGCAAAGGATTAGGTGCTCTGCCCAAGAAATGATCTGCTTTGCCCATTATTGCTTCGAGGGATTTAAATATCTTCATTCTTACTTTTAGTTAGGAATTTGACATATTTATTACTCTACCCCCAGCTGGGATGGGGGAGATTGAACAAAGGATTTGTGATATTTACTTTAGTGTGTTTATATTTCCTTTTTTTTTTCCCTTATTGCCTTCCTTTCCTTTAGTCTTTCAACCACACCAAGCATTCAGTCTTTGAAAAGATCAATCTGTCTAGTCAGCCTTGACACTCTTCATTATAAGGCAAAGTATTTTTAAGAAAAATATTTTAAATGATTTTGCGATTCTTGTTTTGTGGCAGTGAAATGTTTTGTTTTGTTCTCATTGTCTTAAGTGGTGGGTGAGAAGGAAGTTGCGAACAAGACTGCCAACGTGCGCACCCGAGACAACAAGATCCACGGAGAGCACAGCATTGATCACGTCATTGACCGCTTCAAGAGCTTCGGCAAGACGAGACAGCAGGATGCTGAGGAGGCTTTCTAAGACTTCTACCAGGAGAATTGTTGTTCAAATTTTTATTTTTATTTGTCTATGTTCATGAATGAAATCTGTTACATACATAGGTTTATATGGTGTTCTCATCAGGACTTCAATGTGATTTCATACCTGTCTGTATTATCTGTCTCGTACTTATTCCATTTTGGTTACACTTTATCCGTAGTGTATGAACGAGTTACCGCAGCTACTGTTGGGTTAAATGTATTGTGAGATGTTTTCCTCTGAAATTTTTTTGACATAGATTGGAAGCCAGTAATTTGGGACTAACATGGATTTCTGTAATGTTCCAAGCAATTTTAAGTGAAATGGTTTTCAGAGTAGGGAAATTGTTTCTCTAACTGATTGTTCTGTAAACATTTCACGTCTTTAAAATGTCCCATGATAATTTCATCCCTCTCTCTCATCTATAGTTCTTTTTCTTGAAATCACCACTGAAACTGACCCCCAAACACAGTTCGTACCTCTTGATCACTTTTATATATAGTTGTACGGTTTGTAGAATTGATGCAGAATGAACTTCTGAGATTTTTGTTGTCCAGTAAAGAATGTTCTTTAGCGATACTTAAAAACTTGTTGATTTTATTAAACACTCTTCTTAACAAGGATATCATGTGGGATGAAAATTTCATCTATGGTTTCATTTCATGTTTTGTTACGTGAATGTGTAAATTAAGTGGTTATGTTCCTGTGGTTGAGGTAGGAATTTATCCTGTGCTGCCTTACATAAAGGGTACTGGAAAGGATGGCTCTCAAAGCGTCACTTCTGATGTATTCATTCAGTTGCACTATGTTAATTGGCTGTTCGTCATTTTCCTCTGGTCAGGAAGGCAACCAGCATTTCATAAGTCCCTCCACTATTTGTTGTGAGAATGTGGCTGTCGACTCCTTTTCAAAACTAATAAATGCCTGGAGCAGGATACACGTGACTTTTTTTTGTATTTGTGAATTGTAGTTTAAGTTTAAATACCTACTTGTAGCTAGCCAAATAGTAACTGTTCTTATGTGAAGTCTTACTATAGATAGTCCAGCGAGGGAATATAACATTGCTCCATTTTTCTTAAAGCAAAAGAAGAAAAGTAGTATGCATTTCCAATCTGGGGAATGCGACTTTTCTGTCACATTTTCTTTTCCTTTTTTTTTGAGCTATTAAAAATTTTCCCAAACTCCAAGTAGTTTAAATGCTGCATAGTAATTTGTTTTTGTAGGGATGGTAAGAATTAATGCTTGTCACTTATTTCACTCAACTATTATAAGTCCTGAACATTACTGTCAAGTCAGTCTTCAAAACAGTTGTAAATATTATGCTTTTCTACGGTGTCACATGCTGTGTATCGTACCAAGCATCTTGAATTTTGCTTTCTTGCACTTTTATTAGTGTTGTAGTATTTATTTATTTATATGACTGCCCACATGGACATAATATATGCCTTATGTATTTGTTGACCATTTCAAGCTTGTCAACGGCTCCCGGTATATATTCATTTCAGTTATGATTTATCAACAGAAAACAAACATTGAGCATTCCTCATCCAGAACGGGGGGGGGGGGGGGGGGGAATTACCGAGGATTCGGATACGGATGGACAGGGTTTATAAATATGACCACCACAATTTGACCACAAGAGACTGAGTTTCCTTGAATTGTTTTGCGAATTCACTTCTCTTACTTCTTGTGTAGTGTGGTGGCCAGATGTTGCAGCGATAGATAAATAACAAAAAAAGTATGGAAGAAAACGTTGTCTTGATTTGTATGTCTTCTGTAGTAAAACCTTCCTACTAAGTAGAATAAACACTTTCATGTTCGGAAATAAGTCGCAGAGAAATTGGGTCCTGTGAAAGTTGAAATATGGGAAATTGTCTCAGGAGAAGTCAATAAAGAGATCTTGGTGATTTCACATAACTTCACTAGTGAAATGGCTTTTCCTGACCATAGGACAAAAATAGACAATTATGAAGTCATCATCAATTGCAAACATTACCTATTGATATTGCATGTTAAGAACAGTATGGCTTACTATCCATAGCTTTGGAATCCTTTTTGAATATTTGCATCCCCTTTGTATACTGCAGCAGGCTGGGAATGATGAATTTACTTGTTCAGCAAAAATGTATAGATAACACTTTGTTTTTCTGTATAAACTGCTTTTTTTTCCATTAAAATGGTCATTCAGCTTGTATCGTATTTCATGCCTTTTGCTTTTCACCCACACTTTACCTCTTTGTCAAATTAAAAATCGTGATAAAAGTCTCTTATGTCCCTGCCAGCAGGGTGTGGCGCAGGCATTAAGACAAAAAAGTTTAAACTGAATATTAGCATGGAGTCTATGAAGAGCACAGTGGAACTCAGATTCAAGGAGATAAGATAAATTCCCAGGGTTTTTTTCTTCTTTAAAATCAATTTAAAAAATAATTCGGATTCAACGAGCACTTAAATCAGCGAGCTCGGATTCAGCAAAGTCGCTTCCTGGTTGAACAGCCCCGGCAGACGTGGCTTCGCTCGTTTTTCTCTCAGAACGAGCTTTATCCATTCCCGGAAACCATCATTGCACCTGCGTTGTGAACCATTGGCATTATTCACTCAGCCGATTGCATGCGACCAATCAGCTGCCTTTTTTCATACCAACACATGTGTCTACTCTGGCGTGTGTTGGGGTCGGAGGGGCGGCCGGCACACGTGTGGCTGCGTGTGCGTAAGGGGGGGGGAGCTAGCGGTCCTTGCGTTGAACGTCGCAGATAAAAAACGCGTCACACTCATAGTCTTATTTCTCCCTCGGCAACTGATCATTATTGCAATGATGAGCTAGTCTTGACGTAGGCCTACGTAAGGAATTGTGCACTGGTCTATGGAATCAAAAGTTGCCGTATGCTAGGCTCTACACAGCAACACAACTTTTTGGTAAACAATTGAGATGACATAGGCGTGGGCATTTGAACGAATCTGTCTTTTTTTTACACAGCTCATAATATGCAGGCACTACTTGTGACTTCTCAGATCTCTTTATACATTACTTGTTCAGTGCCTGTATTTATCTACACAAAACCTTGTGTTTACTATAACGAACGCTCGGATTCAACAAGATTTTAGGTCAGGCCCGGCGACCTCGTTGAATCCGAGTTCCACTGTATTTTGTTTCTTTATTTTTTTAAAGTGTTTACAGAACTACATTTACAAAGTAGCAAAATGCACATGGAAAGGCCTACCATTTGTTGTTTTTTCACAAATAAATTATGGTCAGGAAATGTTGCTGAACTTGTTTTGAGAACAAAACTTATCTCTTTACAATATTACATGTACCTAACAGTACTTGCAGCAGTAACCTTACAAATTACAACCCCATTGATACAACTTGGAAGGTTAAGGAGGCAGGCTGCTTTGATTCTCTTTGTCAAGACTAACATGGGCTGAAGGAGATGAAGTATCCCATAAGTTTTAGCAAGTCTTACAGCACTTGCAACACAATTGGTGAATTATATCACAACAAAGTTTGAACTCTAGTGAGACCAGAATTTAACTCTTATTTACTGGATAGTTTGCTCTCTGACTCTGTTCAAGGGATCATTGTGCTTGCAAGAAAGTGTTTAGAACTCAAAGGCAAGCAGAAAAATAACAAAACAAATGAATTTCAAAAGACACACTTTGTATTAAATTGTATTTTCAGACAATGAAAAAAATGCATGATGACAATTTTTACATACCGTACATGAACATGTAAAATCCCAAGCCAAAAAGTACAGTCAACAGGAGACATAAAGACAGTGAGCGTAACACTTGATGATCATTTTCCAACACATGACACGCCCAAATACACACCATACTTATGGAAACATTCATTAAATTCATTTACCACTGAAAAAAACAACCAATCACACGGACCTGATAGTCATAGCTTTGTCCTGATTCTGTCATTTTGTTTTATTTAGTAGAGGTTTTACGGCGCTCCCAACTGCATAAGGTCATACGAGCGCCAAGGGGTGGATGTCAACAGAAGCCCGTACAGGGAATCGGGCTTACTCTGCTCACCTCTCGAGCTTCAGCAGCACAAAGTCTGCTTCGACTATCAATGCACCCCGTAAATAGGTCACAAGAGTATAACAAACATACAAAAGAAATAGAGGAAATGACGATAGTAAGGATTAGGAAAGAAAAAGCAGCAGTTCCCTGTTGCAGTTCAGGCACTGTTATGAGCATGACAATATGACATTGTCGAATCAGCCCAATTACAATAACAATTCTACTGTGCATAAGAACATGGTTAATGCCTCTTCTCCCCCCCCCCAGGGAATGGCCTTAAGACACTTCAGTCAGTGGCACCGCCCCGGTGAGATATTGTCATTTGTACTTCTGCTGAAATCATTGGTGCAAGAATACCTGGATTACTCTTCTGGATAGAAATTCATTGTTTGAGTACGGTTTCCTTTGTAACACAATCTAGGTATAATGCAGGTTAGACCCAGAAGTGTATTTGATTCTTCTGTCTTAAAGATACAGTGGGTGTTGTATTCAACGAGGTCACCTTCAACGAGAAGTCGGCTCCAACGAGGAAATCCTTAATCCCCGATTTTTTCCTCTATATCTCTTTGTAAATGTATGTCAGCTCCAACGAGGTTGCAAACAGACCGAAGTCGCTTTCAACGAGGTTGCGATAACCAAATAAAGGCAATTAGCTGCCCCAAAAGCGAATAATTTTTCTCCTTTCTCTACATCTCACGAGAAGCACAAGGCCAATCCTCGATTCCAAACAGATTGTATTGCTAGGTCTTGTGTGCCTCCATTATATGGGCCCCAAAGCCAAGAGGGTGGATGAGGGTTAGCCTACGGTAGGGATGGGAGGGGGTGGGTGAGAACGCGATGCGGGCTGTGTGAAACTGAGTGAACTCAGGATGGGTAGGTCTAGATTGAGACCATTTTTTTTTCAATTTTCTTTTCTTCATCTGATCAGAAAATCCAAGTTCCCGCCTTTACTTTATGTAGATCTAAGCCTAGACGTGAGAGGGTATGTTTCCACACGTGAAGTGTTCCGGAAAAAAATATATTTAAAAATTCAGAAAAGAGGGCCAGAACACAGCTCAAACACGCATACACTGATGCTGTTTGAGATTTTCGTCATCAGGGGGAACAACTGTTTTAATTACTGGTATTGGTACATCGTGTAATATAATAACGTGTCTCTTTTCATTTCTTTAGCCTTTGTCACGTTCAACGAGAGGTCGGATCCAACGAGTACAACAAGCCGGTCCCGGCAACCTCGTTGAATGCCACACCCACTGTTGTTGACTTTCACTCCATCCACCTCCCTAACTTTCATACTTTCTTTTCTTTTTAATGGTATTTTTTTCTTTCACTTTTTGTGCAAAGTAATATGTTAAAAGTACAGAATGAAGCACTGTCATAAAACAAGTGTGTGAGGAACACAGAGATTACGAGGGGCTCTCGTGGCCTAGAGGTTAAGGTGTTGGCCTCTCATTCAAAGGTCCCGGGTAGCCACCTAAAAATTTCTTCTCCTAAATTGTCTCCTTTCACCTCCTTTCCTGCTCTCTAGCAATGTTCTGTTGTCTGCTTTCATTTCCACTTTCTGCCCCCACCCCCTCATCTCCTTTGCCCCCTCCACTGGGCTCCTGACTCTTTCTGCAGCCTTTCTACTGTTACTCCTTGGCTCTCCTTACTGCTGTCTTTCTGCCACACCCCTGATCTTCTGGTAGGAAAGATCTACACCTAGTCTTCTTGGACAAGGGCGAAAAATCTCGGAGGGCCCGTGTGCAAGTTGCGCACGTTAAAGATCCCTTGGTGGTCTAAAATCGATAAGAGTAGACTTCCGCCGCCACCTGGGCAAAATTCAAAATTTCCTACCAACTGAAAATATTAGGTGTGTCCCGCGCGCTCATATGACCTTATGCAGTTGCGAGCGCCGTAAAACACTTTACAAAAACAAAAATAAACAAAGAGATTACGAGATATGAATGTACTGACAAATGAATAGGTGGACCGAAAAGAAAAGAAAAAGACACACAGAAATCAAGGCAGGGTAGAGGATACACTGTATATTGGTGGGCAAAGACTATTCATACTGGTGTCATTGATAAAGACAATTTCACTCACAAATGGGTGAAAACTGGAAGAAAAAAATACTTCTGGTAAGAACTTTGGCTAATTTTGAAATATATTTGACCTCTGATGACATTTTTCTTTCTCGCTCTTTCCCCAACACATATACTGGTATCGATGCATTCCCAGGCATGCATGTGAGGTAACACACCCAAAAAAATTTTACCACTGAAAAGATAAAAATATGTAACTAACCAATAACTTTGCCATGATAGATATCCTCTTTCATTTTCATGCACACAAAAATACTGAGACTGAGAATCACTGTCAGTGTCTGGATAAAAAGAAAAGCCATCTTACACTGAACTCCAATTTGAACAACTTCAAACTGCATCATCCTGCTTCGTGCCCAATGTGCAATTTTCCATGGGCTAGGGCACATCCTTGGTTCAGTGGGTATCACTGAGCTCTGGAGCAGACAGTCCTAGTCTAAATTCCAAAAGAAATGTTCTTAAACTGGGTTGTCTGGGGAGCCGCATGGCACTGTCCTATCAGAGAGATGTTTATTTCAGAGACCCTGCCTCATACCCTTCCTTGCAGTGCTGAATGGGAAGCTATACCCATACACCTAATACAACTATCAATTACAGCAGGCCATCAACTTCACAGCGGAAAACGAAGAGCTGAAAAAAAGCACTTTCCTCTACCACCAAGCAACCAGCTGTTACTCTTATAGGGCACAAGAACACAACAGAAAAGATGAGCATATTCCACATTTAAAAAAAGAAAGGTTGAAAACTTAACTAATAACAGCATTTGGAATGATAACAATAACAATAATTACTACCTTCTCACTATTTATGGGTGCAAGATAGACAAAGTAAAACCTCAAGAACTCACAAGCCTGATCAAAAACAAGTGCAAATATCCCATTCAATAAAGGAATTATTAACTTGACATACAAGAAATAAAGTCAACACCATTTCAAATTTCCAGAAAACAGACACGCCAAGGCATTACACTCTTTTCATCAGAAAGTGAACAGGATTTCTTTCATTTACTGTAGCCTACCCATTGCTACCTAGCTAGTTTTAGCCAGGCGAAAACTGCACTCTGATCAATTTGAGACAGTTTTTAAATTCATTGCCAATGATCCAATTACAATGGGAGAAAGAGACTGTGACAGTACTAAGCATGATTTTATTTATTTGTTTTAGTAGACGTTTTACGGCGCTCGCAACTGCATAAGGTCATGTGAGCGCCAGAAGATTAGAGGTGTTACAAGAGAGTAACAAACATAAAAAAGAAGAAGGGTAGATAAGGACGATAGATGTTTGATAAGAAAGAAGAAGCAGACCACACCAGAGCACCCGCCAAGCATGATTAAGATCTTTTATACGCTCACTTTGTTTCTATAATTGATTTAAATAAAAACAATTTTCAAACTTCTCAACGATTCAAATATTCTGGAAAAGATCTATGGACAATACACAAAAAAAACTACATTAAAAGGTTATGGATACCACTCCTAAAAACCAAAAATCACCTCATATTATGCATGAAACTGCTTCTTGCAGCACATTTTTGTCGGAAGAATGAGTAAGCTATCATAATCAATCCTTACACTGTACTCTGGCTGTTCAGTCATACTGAAATGATTTAGTATATATCTCGTCCCACTGATAATTGGGATGAGGGTTCCACACCAACATTACCATCTAGATATAGTTCAGGACCAGAAAACAGAGAGTTTAACATTATTTGATGAATGGCAGAATGATGGTAGAACATTGGCGCATTAAGTCAAATATATGATACGTAAATTCAACCAAAGAGTGCTCTACGATCAAAGTATCATAGGTAAACGGACCCGTCATAGGGCCCAATGTATCCCACGCCTATGAGAATAACATCCACGAGAGTCCACACACCAAGACCACCAAAACTCAGCAGCTTGCCAATTCCTTCTTTCCACAGCCCAAGGTAGAAGCGATCGGCACCAAAGCCCCCGAGAAATATACTGTAAGAGAAAAACAAACAAGAAAAACTAAACATTTACTTCATCAAATAGATATATGACAAATTTTTCTTCAAAAAGAGACTAATAGAAAATGAACAGATCTTTCTATTGGTACTTTTTTTAGCCGGTATTTTACATATTTCGTGTAAAAAATTATCTTCAAAAACTGTGACGGTTTTTTAAATGCTTTCTATTTAAACGCCAAAGGCCAAGAATATTCCATGAGAAAGCTCTTTTAGAGCTCTACAGTTCTCCGCCAATGAAAAGACGGTATTTAATCATCAATCTTTCCGCCAAGCATTTGAATGCACGCGTGTCAATTTTTTAACCGGCCGACCACGCATTCCGACAGTGAGGGGCTTCGTTTTCCACGGTGATTCTCCAGCTCCTAATAATCAGGCGTATAAACAACTTCATTGTGATGAAGAAAAACTGAACTTTTACTAAGTGTACAGCATTTGGGGTTTTATAGCGAAAGAGCAAAGAAACAGCGATCTGAATTTACCCCATTTCACCGATACCACGCGCTCGGAAGGCTGTGTTACGCTACCTATATAAAGACCATTATTGCCATTACAGAGATGGGTGGCATCAAGGAAGCAACACATTCCTGGGGGGGGAGAGAGAGAGAGAGAGAGAGAGAGAGAGAGAGAGAGAGAGAGAGAGAGAGAGACAGAGAGAGAGAGAGAGAGAGAGAGAGAGAGATAGAAGTGGATAAAGTAAAATCACAAATAACAACAGTTGATAGGTGAGACACACCTGAAAGGGAAAGACAAAGAAGGAAAGCAGCAAAAAAGCAAATGAACGCCTTTCTAAGAGAGGAGCATACCTATTTAAGACTCACCTCTCTTGCTTAAAAATTGGATCTTTTTGACAAGACTGTTTATCTGATCTTCATAAAAGTCGAGATTGAACTTTACAAAGCTTTCTTCGTTAGAACCTTTCCCTCACGTTTGTACCTCTCTGATGCGCAGGTTTTCCTTTTTTAGCTATATGTACAGTGTGCTCTCTGTTAATGAGATAATAAAGAAATTAATATTTCACTCCTATTTTAACCCAATTCACCCTGTGTTGCCGCTGCAGTGAACTTGTGTCCACCTGGCTTGCCTCGAGCCGGGGGGAAAAAATCGGTCTGAGCTCGACAAACTAACCTTAGACACACATTGTGCCCACACTATTTAAGGTATCAATATGAAATTTCGCTTAGATTTTATTTAAAATGTTCTTTTTAATATTATTAGAGAAAAATTTAAAGGACAGAGCAGAGAAAGCAACATATTCTTCGTCCGACTGCGACTCATCGGCACTCGATTTTCCCATAGCAACTTATAGTAGATCTATGGTCTAGATCTAGCATTTCGTCAAAGTTTTCAATGCACTAAAATCAATCCGACGATCGCTTTGTTTTTCTAGATTTACGTCTGCTTTCACTTTCTTTGCTGTTTATGCCTAAAATAAAACTAAAAACATGGTTCATGTATTTAACAAACACAAAAAAGGTGTATCACTGTTGTTTTTTGTGGCTGTTTTTTCTTCTTCTCGTCCATGAAGATTTCAGTGCTCGCTTTCTTGCCACGATTTGAGGTGACAAAATAACAAAAGTAACTTGAACTTGGCGAAAACTGGATCAAAACAAGCTAGCAAACATTTTTATAAGCTACAAGCGACCTTATATTTATAATATAAACTGAGAAAAGTGGTTTGGACTCGATTTTGTGGACTGGTATTTTGATACGACTGTTGTCGTAGTTCGGTGGACAGAAGCACGCAGCAGCTACAGAAATACTCGTAGCTCGGGTGCAATGGGTTAAATGAAAGTCTATGAAGCAGAAAGTGATGGCTTTGCTGCCAACTTTTCAAAACCAAAAAAGCAGACTCAGCCCGCAAAAGAGACAGGTGGAGAGTCTTCGGCAGTCTGTACTCAATACCTGGATGAAAGAGGAGAATGATGCCATGTTTCTCTTGATCATTTTCCCATAAATTACAACCAATGGTGAAGCAATCACAAAAGAATAAAGCTGAAGAAAGTAAATTTGGCATGTCCTTTCAAGGCAAGGGCAATTAATAATTTTGGCATTTTTCTCATAATAAAGTGTGGATACTTTACCTCAAAAGCATTGCTGTAGACCATTTGTAGCCTTGAGACCAATTACATGGAAACTGTTTATGAAAACACCTTCGCCCTGGGGGATTGAGAAAATTTTAAAATTATATTTCTACATTGTCACTTTTGGGATCACAGCGGGAGTTACAAGAAGTTCTCACATGTCACAATTCTTTTTTATGCACTGGAGAGCAAACTAACTTACTAAGCTGACCCAGTTTGGATTGAAATTGCTTCCTTAAACATTTTCTTCTACAAAAAATGACACTTAAGTCAAATTAAGTATTAATGTTTTGGACCTGCTACTTTTTAAAGATTGAAGAGTGCCATTGAACCAAAGTCGAAACCTTTAGATATATTTTGTTCAAAACAAGATATTTTAAAACTAATTGTTAACTTGCAAATACTTTCAATAAAAAAACAATTTTTCAACAAAGAAGGAAAGTATAAATAGCAGTGTCATGTTCATATATCTGAGAGAAGATTAATTTATAAAATGTATGCCTGAAAAGTTGCAAAAAACATAATATCTGCAAACACTGCTATTTGATATTTAAAACTACAAGTATAGCCCTCCCCTTCCACAAAAATAAAGATAAAAAATTTCCGAATATCTCTCCATAAGGTATCAATCAATGATCATTTATGTTATACTGAACATATTTTTGGTGAGACAACATATATCTACTATCTAATTTTACACACACTGGGCTCCTTGAATGTAGACTATGTATAATTGCCTTGTTTCATGTAATAGACTGACTTGCTATATGCATCGTGCGGCTATAAAGAATATGGGTCAGACTTGGTCACATCTGAGCAATAGCAAGAATGTCTTATCAACTCAAAATGACGTTATTCCTTCTCCTTTTAAAATTATCTATCGATAATGAAGTATAAATATTGACATTTCAACCCAGGAGAATCAGTACAATTCTATGAGAAAGAACAGTACCAAGGCACAGTGTTTCTGGTCGTGCCCAGCATGTGCTGATGAACTGTGGATGAGCTGGATAATATTTTTGAGGCTTGTTCAACGCACAGGTCGTAGACTGGTTGCACACAACTTCTGACTCTGGCAGCTGGTAGCAGTAACGGCATTCATATTCTCTTTCAAATGTTTGGTCTCCCTGAGAAGAACAAAATGGAAGGACTGTTACTTTACCCATAATGTGTGAAAAGGCATTCAAGGATCATTCGTTTATTATTCGGACCTGCAAAAAACAATATCAACTTGCTTCAAATTTTTCTAAAGACTGCCCCTTATAAATCAGATGCTTACAACCATTCAAAATAAAAGCTAACCAACAAACATATGAAGAGTCATGTATGAGGACCAATGTGAGAATACAGCTATGGAAAAAGACAAAAATTCACTGAACATTTGAATATATAAAAATTGTTCTTACTATTACTTTCTCATACCTCTCCGTTTAAGGTAAGAAAATTAAATCAGTTCCAAAGATGAGTACAGTGAAAAAAAACCCAACTGGCTAAGATGAACGGTTGAAATTCATGAGAATCATTGAAGTACGAACAAAAAGACATATCATGTTTTCTGAATATGAAATTGAGGGCTCAAGTACAAGTTGAAGAAAAAAAGGTGAACGAAAAGAAAACACAAGTAAAAATAAATAATAATAATATATAACATTTATAGAGCGCATTTCCAAAAAAAGTAGCTCAATGCGCTTTACATTGGAATACCCATTTTTCAAAAACCTTTCTTACTACTTCCTTTCTTCTCAAGCAATATACATTAATGCACACACACACACACACACACACACACACACACACACACACACACACACACAGACTATTTTCATCCAGACATAGGAAAAGAACAAATATAATGAAAGATAACGTTAAAAGCTTATGAAGGATAGGCCTGTAGGAACAGAAAATGTTAAGATGTCTTTTGAAGCTATCAAGTGTTCTTATTTGTCTTAGTTTCATGGGTAATCTGTTCCACATAAATGGACCAAGATATGAGAAAGATCTCTCTCCATATGATTTGTATGATTTTACAGGTGTCACAAGTAGGGTGTTATCGTTCGATGATCTTAGGTTTCTCCCTGGTTTATATATACTGATAAGTTCTTGTAGATAAAAAGGAGCAGTTTTATTTACACATTTGAAACACATGACGCAGATTTTAAATATTATTCGTTCTTTTACAGGGAGCCAATGCAGTTCTTTTAATAATGGAGTGACATGGTCTCGTTTTTTAGATCTTGTTATCAGTCTAGCGGCATTGTTTTGAATTACTTGTAAACGATTCAAATATTTGTTGTTCAGACCTGCTAGGAGTGAGTTACAATAGTCTAATCTAGATAGGATAAGAGATGTTACCAGTGTTTTTGTGGTCTCTTCGCTTAAGTACTTTCGAACTAGGCCTATCCTTCTCAGCTGAAAATAAAGGGATTTGGACAGAGATCCTACAAACGAGCCCATTGATAAGTGGTGGTCAATATATACACCGAGATTCCTGACAACTTCTTTACTAGATGTCATATGCCCATATAAATCAAAGTTGACACTTTCCAGATCTTTATTTAATCGTGGATTTTTTATAAGAATGATGTCTGTCTTTTCTTCGTTTAGTTTCAATTTGTTTACTGTCATCCACTTTTTGATTTCATAAAAACATTGTTTAGTGATGGAAATCATGTTTGGTAGATCTTGAATGGTGCCATTAACATACATTTGGGAATCATCGGCATAAAAATGATAATTCATCTCACCACATATTGTATATATGCATAGGGTTAGATTCTAGAAGAACCGTCTGAGAAGCAAGAAAGGCAAGTGCCCCCCCCCCCTCTCCTCTCTCTCTCTCTCTCTCCTCTCTCTCTCTCTCTCTCCTCTCTCTCTCCCTCTCCCTCTCCCTCTCTCTCTCTCTCTCTCCCTCTCTCTCTCCAAAGTTTTTTTGAAAAACACATGTTTGCAGCATAGATGATGATGCGCAAGTAGGCTCCTGGTACAGAATTTCGGGATGTAGATGTAGGCTACGGGTTTCGCAAGGGAAAGTTGGAAGCATTCTCGGCACCCATCCGGTAGTTTTGACACCTTAATCGGAATCGCGGTAGAACAGGTCCAAAATCGGAAACTAGATCTAGATCTACCGAAAAAAAAATTGTATTTTAGCTAACAGGCCTAGATAGACCTCTGCGGTAAGAGCCGATGTCTTCCACATGTCGTGAAAACGAGTGTAGATTTTTTTTCCACGACAAGTATCGGCTGCCATATATATTATCAATATCAACAAAATAGCTTGTACCTCATCTTTTAAAAGATCAATCTCAACTTCTCAAGCCAAGCGAAAGGAGCTCACCCCATAATAAACAGCCCTCACTAATCCTCTCTGACTAAAATTTAAAGGCCTCAGAAATATTTTGCTTATAATGCCAACTTATGAAAACAGAAATTCACTCCTCAACTTTAAGTTGACAACTTACTGAACAATTCACATTCTGCTTTGGCTTGCATTTGGCCATCTGTTTTGTTCCATAATGGCATGTTGAGTTGAAGACACAGTCAAGGCAATAACCCCCGAGGTCTTTGCACTCTTTGCTGCTGGAACAGGCCTCAGAGATATCAGCTGCACAGTCTGCTGCTTGTGGTTCTTCCACTTCTTCCTTGCTGCTGTTACTGTTGGATGGCTGAGGATCTGCTGTGCTTGTGGACATGTCTGTGACACTGGCAGCATTCACATCACCAAGTGTCGATGATCCTGAACCTGAAGTATAATTAGCAGTACATATATATGTGTACATGTATCATATCGAGGTCCGCAAAATAGATTATAAAAGACCCTCTTCCCCCCCAAAAAAAATTATTATGAGGTAACAATAGAGGAAGGATCAACATTTTGTGAAAAACAATGATTAAACCAATGGATCTTAATTTAGGCATCTGCCACTCCCTCTCAAATTACAGACAAAAATCATACTGGACACTGCCCGTACTCAGTTGGAACTTCATTAACTCGCTTTTGAGCATACAATTTACGGCTTGAATCTCGATTTAATATATTCTATTCTAGTGTACCAGAAAAATTAATTCCATCTTTTTGGACAATAAACATCCCTTGTTCCCTCAAATAAAAATATCGGTCAGAAGTAAAAGACCTGGCTTCTGATCTGTAACAAAGAAAGATACAGAAGGTGATTCTTACCATCATCCATCAAACTTCTTCCATCTTAATCATCTTGTTATATATAAGTATTCATATGATGACCTTAGAGCATACATCAGAATACCATTGCGTTACAATCAGAATACACTGAGTATGTACAGAGGAAACCATATATAACAGGGGTGGTGGGACCAAAGAAAAAGTGCTGTTATATCAGAAATGCAAGGAAAGTAAGCATTTGTGGACTAATCCAACTGTATTTATTCATGGGTAGTTTCCCATGGCCTGCGCATGACATTACGCGTGCATGTAGCTAGGCTTAGGGCTAGATTGAAGTCTGCAGCACACCGCAGCCCTCTCTCGCTTCACCCTCTGCCTGTGCTTGCAGTGGTGTGGTTTGCGGGGGCTTGCTCCATCACTGCGTTACTCTCTCTTTCTTTCTCTCTTCTTACACATTGTTAACGAGCCTTTGTCCTTGCTATAACCAATTGGGCTCCGATGAGGCTCTGTTACTGCTAATAACTTTTAATAGAGACCTGTTATATATGGTTTCCACTGTATCTAGCTTAACATTATTATTGTTTCAAATTTATATTATATTACCATTTATTTATATTAAGCATGAGACTGTAAGCCTGTTTGTGAGTGCAAGCATACCGCGTGTGTATGCATCTTTGAGTGAGTGCGTGTGTATGTCTATGAGAGTGTGCGTGTGTGTGTATGTGTGTACGTGGTGAAACACCAAAGCAATGGGCCAAGATCTTGACAATAAAGATGTATATATGTTATCTTATACAGTCCATGCTGGCTTTAAGCACGGTCATCGGGAGAAAGCATAAGCGTGCTTAATGCCGAAGCGTGCTTGAGTGCGAAGTGCCAAGTAGACATAATCCAGAGATTTTCATGTATGTAAGTAGGCCTATAGTGGTCCCGCAAAAGTGTGCACTCTTTTTACCCGCCATGGTAGTTTTCATTTTTTTGTTAGTTTTGTTTTGTGGTCTAATGGGAAATGAAAACTTAATTTAGACGGCCAGCCACTATACAGCACACTAGGCCTACACACTGCCTGTGCGTACCACTGCCCGGTGTGCCACATTCATACCACAGCCTTCATCCCCCCCAAAGCCTTTGATCCTACCTCCCACGTGATACCAAATCAGGATTATCGGATAGCAAGGGGCAATAAGGTGAAATCGCAGCCTGCCTCCTTTTCTCGTTTCCCCAACTCTCTTAGTAGTTTTCTTTGTCTGTGCGAAGCTTTGCCCTAGGCTAGATCCTATGTCCACGCGTGCGGCTGTGTGCATCTCTCTGCCTTCCTCTCCGCGCATGTGTGTGTTTCCATCACATGCGTTCTTTGTGTTTCTCTTAACACACTCACTGCTGTGGTGTAGACTGTGTTCATACTTCGATGGGTCATCATGAAAGTATTGACTGTCTTGTAAATGAAGCGTGCCCGAAACCGAAGTTACCGTGCTTAAAGGCGAGTAATTTATATGGCAAAATTTCGGTAAGAGTAGGTACCGCAAACTGGCCGTGCGCCCCCGTGGCGCACTGTCACGGAGACCAAAACCTATATTTTTACCCTCCCAAAACACCAGGTGATCATGCATACACACAGACACTTGATATATCAGAAGAAAGAGGAGCCTTTCCTCTTTTTATTGGTATTATTTATTTGAATCAACGATTCGTTTGAAAGCAAAATCTTTCGGGATAAAAGACAACACTATCGGGGTTTTCACCACTGCGGCCGCGCATTTCGAGTATTGATTTTTAGAGTGACCTCGGTTGAACAGGAACGGGGAGCGTACGGTATTAAATACTGCAATCTGATTCATCGATATTTCAAGATGAGAAGACGCTCTTTCCGGTGATATATTTCTAAAGACTGTTCTTAAAGAATTAATAGAAGAGATTTGCGTGTGAAAACTTTCGGTGCTGTTTTTTTTATAGAACCAGTGATCGGACTGACTACGGAAATATATCGGCAGAAAGCCCATTCATTCCTCTTCAAGAACAACACAGCCATTATACGCAAATAAACACCGAACGCTCCCCGTCTGCTCACAAGCAGGACACCATCGCCCCCGTTTCGTATAAATTCTCTCTCCTTCCCTTCACGGCGCGCAGCCGATAAGCCGGTGGTCGCGAGTGGTGATTTTAACCTCCCTTTGTATTTCTTGCCATTTTGGTCAAAAAGCCATGTTTACATCAATAAATTTCCGTCTTCTGGTTATTTGATAGCCCTGAAAAAAAATTGATAAATTTTATAAGGTGGTGCAGTTCAATATTAAATCAGAGGCCTTTGAAATTTTAGTTTGTGGTACCTAGTAAAAGCCGTTTAGCGTGCTTGAGTCCGAAACGTGCTTTATGCCAGTGTGCTTAAAGCCGGCAAGGACTGTATTTATACTCGTGTATTAAGGTATGTAGGAATCTTTTATTTTTTAAAAACTATTTTCGCCAAAATCTGAGTTAATGCCGTTCCATCAGAGCGCCGACAAAACATATAGACGTCTACGTCATGCTCTCAAATCAGTCATGTTACCTCCTTTCTGCTTCTTTTACTGTGATATTGGGTAAAGGCCGCCAATAGAGGCTCTCCACCTGTCTCTGTTCTTTGCAATCTTCTCTACTTTGAGACAACTGTAAACCATCTCTGTCTGAGATCTTCCTCCAGACCTCGTTCTCAGGTGGACCTCCACCTCCCTCTCTTCTTCCTTCAGGGATTCCATCTTCAGCTTTGCGATGTCAGATTGTGAGCTGGCTTACTAAGAGTGTGCCCCATTCATCACCATCTTTTCTTGATCTCACAGTCTGTTGGCTGTTTGTTTCTCCTCCATTAATTCTATATTTCTGATGGTGTCGAGCCAGTGGATTTTTTTATTTTTCTCAGGCAGGCAACCATTGATGAAGGACTAGTTTGTTTACTAGATCTACTACTTTGTAGCAATGCCAATGAAAAATTTAAATTATCGCTTCAGCCCTTTTTTATTTGGAATCTAAGAAAGAATGTTCAATTCTAAGAATTATGCTTCTTGAATTTTAAGAATCGGTTCATAAATAAAAAAGTTATGGGGTAGTAAAGGTCAGCAAAATATGGATGACCCACATAGGAAAATACTCCTAAAAAGTGGACCACGCAGTAGCAGATTCTGTAAGAAAATCGACGATATCTCGGTAACTAATCGGAGTGACCAATGAACGGGCCCAGAATAGTCATGCGGGGATTTGTAGGTCACATACATTTGCCGCGAGAGTGAGGGGAAAATGGCCGGTCTCCGTGCGAAGCCGCTTTGGATAGGGGGGTAGTCGTGCATTTATGATCGGGTCTAAACAACTACAGTGGAATCCACTTATAACGAGTCCTGAAACAACGAGAAGTCTGTTATTAAGACACTATTCTAAAACCCCGTTTTTTTCCCCTTCTTTATCTTTGTAAATAAAATACTGCTATATAGCGCAATCGGACAAACACGGGAGTCGGTTATACCGTAATATAGCTGCTGCTGTGTACAGCGCATGGCTATTTATTAATTATGTAAAACCTCGCCAGTTGAGAAACTTGTTGGTGATCTAGCGAAACAAAGAATGGGAGAGCCCACGAGTGCCAACAATGAAGGCCTGATTGAATGAGTGGGGAGAGTGTGGCATGCACAGACAAGCAGAACGCATCGTGTGATAGGCCAGCCTAGTCTAGATTATCTAGGTCTACCACGCTTCTCACTTCACCGATGCGGGGATGGAGAGGTCATAGTGCTGTACTGTGATGGACGGAGTGAATGTGTGACGTGGGCGGGGTGCGGTATGTTCCCATTGTGCGCAAGCAGACGGAACGCACCACAGGGTGTGGTGGGGTGGGGTGGGGGACAAAACAGCGGGCGAGTTAGCCTAGAGAACTTTCTTTCTGATCGCCAACGCCGAGCTGTCAATATCGCTAGCGTTTGAGAAAGAAACCTGATTCGACTTTTGATCAAGTAAGGTCATGTTGAACCAAATCATCCTCAGGGGAGATTACAAAAAAAAATAAACCAAAAACCAGACTCATAGATTAGGCCTACTTTACTATTTTCCTTGAATTTATTACTGGGTCCCTTATAACGAGAATCTTGCTATAACGGTCATTTGACACCGGTCCCCTCCCTCTCGTTATAACAGGATTCCACTGTACTTGACACAGAACGTTCAAATTTGAGCACACTATAGAGGATAGATAGATCTATTACCATCTCGGTGTTGAAATTCAAACTCCTTATAGTTTTCGGTGTATACGATACGAAAGTGTTCCCGACATCAAAAGTATAGGTTAATTTATATGTACGAACTTCGACGTCCACATATTATATCATTAGTTTGCCCTATTTTCTGATTGGTTCCCGAGTTTCATTCGGATTGGTTCGGAAATAGAGCAGACCGAGGTTGACAAAGTTAGTCACCTACGCTTCGGCCGGGTCCACAAAATCGCCCGCAAACGGGGACCAAATTTTCGCCGCGTGGGAAAGCCCGATTGGTATTGCAATACTTTGTAGGTTTCCATGTTTCAGAATATACAACAACATAATTTTTCCATCTAATGAAAATCCTCATTTTTTTGGTCCCAAATCATGTGCTTCCTAATCTCCAGATAGACTGCGACTCCGTTAAATCACAAAGCAAAAGTAATGTTACATGAATGTCATATATTACAATTACAATATAGATCTAGATATAATATAGTCTAGATCTAGATCTAGATTTAGATCTATATGGTCATAATGAGGATATCTTGAAAAAAGTTACTTACTCCCATCAATATTGGTTGATACCACAGGAGAATGAAAAACTGCAACGATGAGACTGATGGCTGAAAGAAGGTGCCATGACCACACCACCTTTTTTGCCAAAGAGAGACTGAGAACACTTCTGGTTTCAGAGGACAGAGCCATGTTCGGCTGTGTTTCCGGTGATGTTTTTCAGATCCTCGCCTCTTGAGTCTTGAATACCTACCGACTTAGCCTAAGTTTACTTGGTTATTTAACTTGTAACACGATACACAGACACCCTTTTCTCCTTTTATGATGCAGTCACTGCAACTGACGCGGTGACTAGGGCTGTGTGTTAGGCTACTGTGATGGTCGCCGAGGCCGAGCTACCATAGCAGTTCAGTAGGCCTAAAACTACCTACCTAGGACCTAGAGATCTAGGCTTAGATTAGACACTAGATCTAAATCTAGATATAGATCTAGATCTAGATCTAGATCTCTTGGTGCTTTTTACAATACGGTTAAACAGCACTTTCATTCGTCAAAAGGAATAGGTCCAGCATCGCAAGATTGTCAATTGCGGATAAATAGAACTCCTCTAAAATCTAGATCATAGCCTAGTCTAGTCTTGAGACTTGAGGTGGAAGTGAAAAGTCACGTAAAAGTGAAAACAATTTTTTTCAGCCAAGGGAGACAAGGCTCAACTTTTGTGCTTTCTTTTGCTTCACTCTTCAAGGCGAGACTTCCGCTTCTTTTTTCCCGTAGAAGTCGAATACAAAGTATTCGCAAGACCCTCGGTTGAATTTTTGCAATGATAGTACCACAGAATTCTACACTTAGAGTAGTGTAGAATTCTGTGGATAGTACATAACAAGATGGGCCACTTCTCTCTTTGAGCCAATTAAAAAAGTGTCCTCAAAATTTGGTGGCGCCCTCTTCACAAAAGCGCACTCTTTGCGAACAGAGTTACCCTACTTGAGTTTTTAAAAATCAAAGTGAAACTAGCATGTTTTGGGATAAATTTCGGAAGAACGCTTTTTTAAAATGGTTACGCTGACAAAAAACCTTTTCCGGAGGAAAGGGTGATGGTTTTCTTCGTTTAATTTGACTTTAGAATGAAAGGCGAGAGGTCATTAAAATTTAAAAAAACCTAAAACTACGCACTGAACGTACCCGAACTGCTGATGAACAGCAGTCGATCTGCGCACGCAAGGAGGTGCTATTCCTATTCTTCTTCTGGAAAAACGAAAGAGAGCTTCAAAACAGACTGCAGCGCCATCTGAAGCAAAGAGCATACTTCCTGCGGACACTTTTTTGGCTGAGTGAACCATCTTGTTATGTACTATCATTGATTTTTGTAAAAAAAAAGTATTTCCTCTCCTTCGTGGGAATGAGCATTGTCACAAAATTTCACAACATTATCACTGATACTTACATGCTCTTTAACTCATTGCTTCAGCTGTCCCCAAAGACGTGACCTAAAAGAAGTAGGCCCTAATACATGTCTACATTTTGCCCCTTTTATAGTCTTAGCCTACGTAGCCTAGGCTATTTAGAAGGGGGTGAAAAGACAATAAATATGTTTCACAGGTAGACTTATCAGTTCCGACCTCTGTTCCGCCTCATTTTAGATTTAAGTTTTATTTTCTACTTGGCTATCGGTAGTTTAACTCGCCAACTTACTCTCTCTCTCTCTCTTATGAGCGAATGCTTGAGCAATTTATTATTATTTTAAAAAATCAAAATACCAACTTCTTGTTTTAAAGTGCCGATTCTTCGACAGCAAGGAATTCAGCTATTGAAAGATTGTAGGCATAACCCTATTTGCGGCTGTACACATAGTCGAACCTCGTTAACTATAGCCTACCCCCCTCCCCCTCAATCCCATTTATAACGCTAGTCCCGTTTAACGCCAGGTTTTGCCAATGTACAATCTATAATCATAGTCGTTGTACAGTCCTTATTATACTAATATAAATGTGCCCCGCCATACCGCCAATTAAATTACCCCAGTGCGTACAGGTAGGGTTAATTGTTTTAATTTTCTTTTTTACCTCCTGATTTTATCTCTATTTCTTTGTATTTGGGGCTTTTACGGACAAGACGAATTACGGAAATCTCGAACACTTATTTCCAATCCCCCGACGAATTCGAGTTACCCATGTTTGACAGTAACTAGATCTAGTGTAACTTGATGTTGTGCCTTCCATTCCAACCAGGCAATCATTCCGAGCAGCTGAAGAATTTCTGAGTGATAGGCCCTACTTGTACAACCCCAATGCTTTAAAAAAAAATGCTGCAGCAGCAGAATAGCCTGGAAACCACCCCTTATGCGGAATTTCACTTTCAAAGTACAGTGTATTTTAAAAACATAATAAATGCACAGACAGATGCATCACTTTGCTTGAAACAAAAAGTTTCAGTTAAACTGTTTAGGGCTTTATGTAGTTGGTGTATCTTAACACGTACACAGAGAAATTGATGGGACCCGGATATCTTTCAATTCTATACCAATTTTGCTATGAATGAATTTCAGGTACCAGAGTTCGTGGTGTCACTGTCACACGCAGGAGACCAGAGTTTGATTCCCTAATGGGAATAATTTTTTATAGAGTATCTTGGTCTTTCTGCTGGGATGTTGTATTCCTCTTATCCTGGGTTGGCTCTCACAAGCAGGGTTGGAAGCCCAACTCATAAATCATTCAAATTGTGTCGATTGGGCGTAGAACACACGCATAAAAAAATCAGGCAATATCAAGTGAGATCAAAACAAAGTTGGAAAACTGGGTCAATTTTTTTAAAAAATTGGGGGGGG